AAAACCTACCTAATTTTGCTGACTTCCAGATTAAGTGTTTTTTTTTTTTTTTAAGTATAGTTTGTATTGGAAAAAAATCCTGTACGGAGCCTTAAAGGTGCATTTTGTAACTTTTTGGCTGGGGGTATATCACCTGCTTGGTTCCACCTTACATTTATTCAATTCCAGGTGGTTTTACAGCTCAAAAATACCTAGAAAAACAAGTATTCTGACCGGGAGCGTGGACTTGATTTGGTCTCCACGACGATAGAAGAGATTTAATACTGTGAAACATTCCAGATAAAGCAATAACATCTCCATGGAGAAAAGCAAATGACGGACCCTCCACCAGAATCACTACACAATGCATCTTTATTAATGTCATACTGTGGAACATTCCAGACAGAGCAATGACATACAGTATACCCCACAATCGAAAAGTTACACAATGCACCTTTAAGGCTCTGTACTTGATATTTTTTCCTATACAAACTAAGAATTCATACCGTATTTTTCGGACTATAAGTCGCACCTTTTCTCATGGTTTGGGTGGTCCTGTGACTTATACTCCGGGTGGGACTTATATATTAGAATTTTCACACTAACAGCTTCAAGAGGGCGCTCTAGTCTTGTGTGTCAATATCTGCTGCTCCTATTGCTCCTGTACCTCTGTCACTTGGCTCTACTGCACATGTCTCCTGCAGAAAAAGCCATTGTCCTGCTGCAAGTAGTGAAATATTTAGATGAAAACGGTAATCGAGCTACAGAAAGAAAGTTTTCTTAAGAGTGAGCGAGAAACTTGTGAGGAACTGGTGGAAAGCGGGGATGAAGAACACAGCTTCAGGGGAACCGAGAGGAGGCAACATGCAACTTTCCTGGAAGTCACTGGATGAATCGACAATTCTGGACTCCAGTGACAACCAAAACCATCCTGTCCGGGATTCAGAAAGGCTGGAATAATTCTAACTGGAACTGATGCTGAGTCTGACGATAGTGACGCAGAAGAGGAAGTGGCGCTCTGTTCACCTCCGGAGGTCGCAGAGTTGCTCAGAAGTGACACCGAGGATGAAGAATTCAGTGGATTTAGTGATCTGGAATGAGATGGAGAGTTTGGTAAACTTGTTCTGTTCTCTTGTTTATGCTATAGTTATCTGAAGAACTGTTCATATGTGACATTAACCGCCTGTTGTTCTGTTATTATAACTTCCCTTTCAAAATGAAATGTCGCTCCTGATCTCTGATTTTATAAAATACATTTCCCCCCAAAAGTGAGGCTAATCATCCGGTGTGACTTATGTTTTTTATTTCTTCATTATGCATTTTTTGTCTGGTGTGACTTATACTTCAGAGCGACTTATCGACCAAAAAATACAGTACTTTAAAAAAAAATAATTACACTTATTCTGGAAGTCAGCAAAATTAGATAGCTTTTAGCAAAAGATGTCAGCTGAAATTATGCAACCGTTCAATATTTAATCTCAACACAGAGTCACATTCGTACCTTGCTTCGCACATGCAAGCAATTTCCCCAACCTCCCTTGGACTTTGCAACCGCCGAAACTAGATCCTGCCGAGACATATAATTAGAACACCAGCGTGCATGATTAGGAGCCCCGCCGCTGTGCAAAAACTCAGGTCCAAATTGGTTCAAAAGTTCAAATTAAAATGGGCCTCGGGATTTTTCTGGAGTCACAATTTCAGATTTAATTGGCCAGACGCTGCAGGTGAACCATTTTTGATGTACTTACGGCGCGCAGTCACTCCATTCTTTCAGTCACACTTTCGTATTCAAAGTGTTGCTTGTTCGGCGTCTTTCTATTTCCACTCTGCACTTACCTGTCTCTTCTGACTCAGCTGTGAAGTTTATTTTTGTCTTTTTTTTTTCTTTTTTTGGTTTGGTTCTCCTTCCTGTTTTGTTTGTTGAATGATCAGTCGGTTCATTTATATACGCAAACAGTCAAAAGTTTGGTTACTCGTTTTTCTTATTTATTTCCATGATTATTTGCATCGTAGATGGACACATGTGGATGTAGTAAATAAAAATTATCTCAAAATAACTCCAAATTAGCTTTAGATTTTAAAAAAGGCCCTTCTTGAACCATGAAGTGAAAACCATTTCAGGAGACTTTATCACAAAGCTCATTGAAAGAAGGTCAAAGGTTTGCAGCTCTGTCAAAAAAGCAAAGGATGGGGAGGAGATATTTCACTTTTATTCCTTTTCTTTACATAATTCCATATTTTTTGCATTATACACTACCAGTCAAAAGTTTTAGAAAACCCTAACTTTTCCAGTTATTTATTGCAATTCAAGTCGTGCAAGTCCAATGAAGAGCTTGAAATGGTACAAAGGTAAGTACTAAACAGCCAGAGGTTAAAAAAAAAGATAAAAGATACAAAACACAAGCCCAAGCTCTGCCAAAACTACCTCAGGAAAAAAAGAACAAGACGGTAAACTTGAAAACAGTGAGTGGCCAGCACAGTCTGCAGATTTAAGCCCCGTCGAACTGGACAGAAGAGTGAAAGTCAAGAAACCTACAAGTGCCACACATTTATGGGAACTTCTGCAACAGATTTGGGAAGAACCTTCAGAAGAATATTTGATTTCTATTGTAAAAAGAACGAGCCACGAGTGTGTTCAGCTGATATATCTGCCAAACACTGATGAATCCAAATTTTAAAATACGTTTTTGTCAACGGTAAACAGTAAAAAACTGGAGAAAGTGTGGTGTTCTAAAACTTTTGACCGGTAGTATATATTTAATATCTTCTGCTTGTGAATAACATGTTGAAAGTAGTTAAAAAAAAACTGAAGGACAAAATATTTGACTCCAAACTTTTGAAAGGCAGTGTTTTTCAGTGGGAGATTTGACGTTTTTATCTTTCTTTTTCACAGACTTGATAATTACCGTATAATTGTTTTGATCTGCTTATTCTGCTTTTTGTTTGGATAATTTGTCTGAGAACTAAAACACAAAATGTAAACAATGGCTAATTATGCATTAATGATGAGAGTTTACTTTTGCCATTTCTTATGTTGGTTCGCCTTCTTTCTGTTGTACACTACCAGTCAAAAGTTTGGACACACCCACATTTTTTTTTCTACATTTGATATACATTCACATTCAATTCAATAAAAAAAAGTTTTTATATGAACATATGAAAAATTTAAATTATGTTCTCACTCTCAATCTTCTAAATTAAATAATAATAAAATTAAAGGAAAAGTCCAAAGTTCTTCTTTAAGGAGTCACAGATTTGTAGCTTCCTTGCCGCCTGGTGGTTAGAGACGGGAGAGAGTTCAGCATCCTAACAGCCTGGAGGATGAAGCTGTTTGCGAGTCTGGTGATGCGGTAACAGAGGCTCCAGTATCTCCCCCCAGAGGGCAGGAGGATGAACAGATTGTGTTCGGGGTGACTGTACACACAGAACACATCAAATATATGATGTAAGGAATTATGTAGCAAAGAAAACAAAAATTTTAATAACTACATCATTTTTTTTTTTATATCTTATATTCAACTCCTCAAATTAGTTTTATCTTGAACTTTTCCTTTACTGCCTAATACTATATCTTGCTTTATATAGTTGATGTCTTCTGTATGTATATATGTAAGACAAAAGAAAATGAAGGAGACGAGTCAATAGTTTGGACACGCTCTCTCATTTAATGTTTTCTTTCTTTTTTTACTTCTTCAGACACATACAGAAGACATTAACTATTTGAAGTATGCTGTATGGAATTATTTAGTTAAGAAAAAAATGATTTAACTTTTTTGGGCTCTTTCATTCAGGTAGTTGAGCGTTAAATTTTGTAGCTTGACTTGTTGACGTACAACTATATAATCTGAGTTTTGTCTATACAGACACAAGACACAAGGAAACCATACAAACTGGGTGAGATTGTTGTATTGTAAACAGTCGGGACAAAATGAGTGAAGATTAAACAGATATTGAAAATTCTCCTGAAGTTTGAAGTTTCAAAGAAAATAAATGTAGTACTACTTGTAGAGAGAAGTGAAGTATCCTCTTCTGTGTTCAGCTTCCTTGTCTTTTGTTGATTTCACTTTAATTTAGGTTGTGGCACTTCATTTGAACGTTCTTTTTCTGTTCTTTTTCTGTTTGATGTATGACTTCAAGAGCTCTCAGCTCTGCTTACATGTTCACGACTAGAATTTTTGGATGACATTCTAAAGTAAAAAGGTAAAAAAGTTAAATGTTATATTCCTATAATAACATTGTTTTCAAATGACCACATTTAAGATTGGGAACTCCACTTCTATGTTTTTGTCCCATAGACTGTATTATATAAATCAGACCACTGTGTGCAGTCTGCATTTAATTATTACACAAATTAATTTATTGATTGCAATTCAAAGAAATAAGAGCAATTAGCATTAGAAGTCTGAAAAAAACTGTTCTAAACTATGCAAGATCTCGAAAATTCATGCATGTGAATACTTGTGATGTGCCAGGGGGTTATGAGAACTATAGGAACTAGTGACATGGATGTAAATAAGTAAGAATGCACTGAAAAAACGGTCCGAGAGGGGTTGCTCAAATTGCAAAAACAAATTTGACAATAACATCACTTTTTTACGTTTCTCTGTCAAGCATGTTTAAATCTTACAAACATCGCTTGATTGTGGCCGATGTGAGACCTGCATGTTTTAATCAGGTTGAGGAAACATGACTTTATTATAATTTCTGGTGAGGCTCCTCCCTCTGGAATTCTCCTCCCCAAAACTTTTGGAGGGAAAATTCAAATGTAAGCAGGACACAGGACAGTTAGATGAGCAGAGGACACACAGTGTGGAGCAGGAGGATTATGAAGCTGATCTGGAGGTAAGACTTTTCAAAGATTTTATTATGTGCTTCTCCGGCCTAGAATGTCGTCATTGTTAAAACATGTTTGTGTTGTTTTATTTGACAGCTTGAAACAAATTGTCTTTGACTGTCCATCTACAAGAGTGCTGACAGTTTGTACTAAGATTTGAATGTGTTGCTTCCAGAGTCGTCTACAACACAGAGTGACGTCCAGAGCTCTGCTGGAGCTGTGGGGAAGTTCATGAATGTTATAGTTGATGTTTCAGAAAAAAGGAAGATGTTTGAGAACCAACAAAACACAGACCACAGATGAACAAAGTAAGTAAACCAACTAAAATTATTTAAATTTTTTTCAAAATGAACTTCCTATTGAAACTGTTATCGTACTTGTACAGGGTGATGTGGCACTAGGAGACTTTATACCAGATGCCCTCCCTGTTACTGTGTTTAGAGGAAGAAAAGCAGCACATGGTGAGTTTTGTTTCTGCAGATACAGTTCTAATGTTCTTGTGATTCTGTTCTGGTCCATTATTGTAGTAATAAGTACTCTAAGTGTACTTAAACATGTACAACAGAGTAGATCATCAGAATGTGATCATCATGTGTTAACCTTGTGTCCACAGAGACCAGAGCTTCACTGGAATAAATCTTCACACTGTCCAGCTCCAAACTGTGTGTCTCTGTCCCTGTGCTCTCTTTGTGTTTGATTCTGTTTAAGACAATACAGAACTGTGGAAAACTAAAGACTGTTTTTGTATTCTTTTACAGAATTAGATCAATTAAATTACATTATACATACTTATACATTTCATGATAAGGTACCATAAGATAAATATGCATATTCAGCATGATTTGTTCAAATTTCATCAACATGAAAAAGTGATGTTCATGTTCCGAGAAAAATATGTGTAGAGGGGTTCGAAAAAAGTTTCAAAGCCTAAACATAATTTTATTGCGTGCAACCGCTGTCCATAACTTTTTTACGCAAATCCAGCAACTTTTTTTTCAGTGTGGGACAAGATCAAATTACCATGAGACTGACGAGACTGTGTGAAAAAATGACCTCATGGGATTGTAGTCTCGCTCAAGCTCTGGAACACTGCGTATCTTTCATAGTGGAGGGACCAATATTGATGCAAATAATCTGTGCTAAAGTTGATTTAAAAAGATCACGAATTAATATAATCAAATGTTCACCCATGGACCGCACAGAACATGCCGTGTTTACCACACAAAAACATTGTTTGAAAAAGATCCAAAGAGATAAATAAATGAACTGTATCAGCGCATACAATACATTCTCAACACAATGTATACAAATGAAATCCCATCCCACCCATACAAATAAGTCAATAAAGTATCCTAAAGAGTGCCACGCTTGATGACGCAAATCATGAGATGAGATAAGATATTATCACAGAGTTAACGAAAACAACTGGTCTTACTAAACTTTTGCAGCTGACGTTTCACTTCCACCAAAGAGCTTCTTCAGGGGTTTGTGTTCGTGACCAAACTAGATGTAATGATGGGGCTTCAGGTGTTAGCCCACTGCTGCGGAGGCAAACCCACATTTGGTTCTTTCTCACAGTCAAGTCTTTGCCAAAGTCCAGCTGAATTCATTGAAACAAATCTTGGGATGTCCAGGAATAAGATACAGTATTATCACAGATTTAACCAAAACAACTGGACTTTCTGAGCTTTTGCAAACGATGTTTCACTATCAAACAGGAGCTTCTGTGGTCATGTTTTGTAGAAAGGCTCTGGTGTCACTCACATGTTGTCGTCAGTCGACAGACAGCCCTGGTTTTTCATAGTTACCGATATTTGATGGTGGTGAACGCTAAGATTATTTGAAATACTTTCTAGGCAATGTACAGAACCCTTCTATATAACCCATACTAGAGGTGTAATAGTACAAACATCATGGTTCGGCTCATTTTCGATACAGTATGGGAACAAAATGCAAAACCATTTGCTTGTTGTTTGTTTGTGTTTTTAATAAACCAACAATTAATTTTAACATTATACAAACGAGAAAATAAAATAAATGCAAAGTGCTGTTTGTTAACTTATAAGTTAAATAAAATAATATTATAAAAATGAATTTATTGTTAACAGTAAACAAAACTTTTCAAACTAAACTTTGTTGTCAAGGCGGCCATCCTAACTATAAAGCGCTGCAGGAAACATTGCCACCCCAATCACGGACGAGTTCCCTCGTGAATATTAAAGAGCCGAGCCTTCAGTGCAGCTGCACATGTAGTGACAGAATGTAAACACACACAAACTGTGTGAATTCACTTGTACACTGCCGCGCACTGAACCGAACGTCCCATACTGAAACAATTTGGCACAAATACATGTACCGTTACACCCCTAACCCATACTATAAGGTCACTACTAGGCATGGGACGATGTAGAAATTTGGTGTCACAATCATCATGTCCAAAATAAATGCAATTAACGATTATATCATGATAATTATGAAAGCTGCTGCATGTTAAAGTTACTGACAGAACGTTATGAGATGAATAATGATAATTTGAGGTTCCATATTTAAACAAATGTTGTAGTGTTGTACTTTGTTCGTGAAAGTGAAAGTGAACAACAATGATCTTGAAGACAACATAATGAAGTATCTTTTCCCTGCACATTCTGGTGATACATTGCCGATTAACTTTGTTGGCGATTATCACGATAAAATATAAAATGTCCCACGAACGATTATTGTCTACTTTTATATCACGATAAACGATATTATTGTTTATTGTCCCATCCCTAGTCACGACACAGATGTAAGCTGTGACTATAAAGATAAAATATGTAATAATATAAAGAGTATCACACATGAGCGGAGCAGCGTGACGCCCCCTGCAGGTGACTCTGGAACAGCCTCTGAACCAACACGTCCGACCACAGCACAGGATTAGAGCAGATTCTGTAGAGCAAGAATCATGCAACATTTATCAGACGCCAGCAGCACCACCACTGACGAGAGAGGGATGAGGAGAGGAGAAAAGAGGGATGGAGGAGAGGACAGAGGGATGGAGGAGAGGAGAGAGGCAGAAGAGACGGTTTGCTGCGAGAGGGACAGAGGAAAGAGAGGGATGGAGGAGAACAGAGAGGGAGGAGAGAGAGGGGGGAGGAGAGGAGAGAGGCAGGAGAGAAGGATGGAGGAGAGGAGAAGAGAGGAAGGAAAGGATAGAGGCAGGAGAGGTGGGTGGAGGTGAGGACAGAGGAGGAGAGAGGGAAGAGAGGAGAGAGAGAGGCAGGAGAGATGGATGGAGGAGAGAGGGACAGAGGAAAGGAGAGAGGTATGGAGGAGAGGAGAGATGAAGGAGAGGAGAGAGGAGGAGAGAGGGATCAACGAGAGGAGGGGAGAGAGGGATGGAGGAGAGGAGAAGAGAGGAAGGAAGAGAGACAGGGAGGAGGAGAGAGAGAGAGCAGGAGAGATGGATGGAGGAGAGAGGGACAGAGGAAAGGAGAGAGGGAGGAGGAGAGGAGAGAGGGATGGAGGAGAGGAGGGATGAAGGAGAGGAGAGAGGAGGAGAGAGGGATCAACGAGAGGAGGGGAGAGAGGGATGGAGGAGAGGAGAAGAGAGGAAGGAAGAGAGAGAGGAGAAGGAGAGGAGAGAAGCAGGAGAGGGGGATGGAGGAGAGGAGAGGAGAGGAGAAGAGAGGAAAGAGGGGGAAGAGAGGGAGGAGGAGAGGAGAGAGGTTGGAGAGATGTATGGCGGAGAGGAATGGAGGAGAGGAGAGAGGGATGGAAAGAGGCAGGAGAGAGGGACAGAGGAAAAGAGAGAGGGAGGAGGAGAGATGGATGGATGGGAGAGGGACAGAAGAAAGGGGGACAGGAAGGAGCGAGAGGAGAGAGGGAGGAGGAGAGCAAAAAGGAGAGCAAGGGCAGAGAGAGAGAGGAGAGTATAAGGAGAGAGAGGAGGAAGTAAGTGAGAGGGAGGATGAAGTGGGGATGAGAGAGAGGAGAGAAAAAAAGGAAGAGCGAGGGTAGAAGAGGAGGGTAGAGAGTGGAGAGAAAGGAGAAAGAGAGGGAAGAGCAATGAAGAGGAGAGAAGGAGGAGAAGAGAAGAAGGAGAGGAGAGAGGAGAGAGGCAGAAGAGATGGATGAAGGAGAGAGGGACAGAGGAAAGGAGGACAGAGAGAGGAGGACGCGAGCGAGAGGAGGTAAGAGAAGAGAAAGGTGAAAAAGGGGAGAGAGTCGAGCAAGAAGAGAGGAAAAGACGATAGCGACAGATAGCGAGGGAAGAGAAAGGATAGAGGATGGAGAGAGAGAAGACAGAAAGAGGAGAGAGATGGAATAACAAGAGGGGAGTGAGTCGAAAATCCGGGAAGTTAGAGGAGAGAGCTGAGCAAGAGAGAGAGAATAGAGAAAAAGAGGACAATGATAGACAGAGAGAGGGAAGAGAACAGGTAGAAAATGGAGAGAGAAGAAATAGGAGAGAGAGGGGGAAGAGAGAGAGAGCAGCCAAAAAGACAGTAGCGTGAGGAGGAGGAGAGGCGCTGTCACTCGGACTGGCTGGCGTCACACTCGTCAAAGCTCCATTAAAGTTGCAGAGCGCGTCTACGGAGAGGCGAGGAGGAGGAGGAGTGCAGCGAGGACAGCCCAGACGAGGGATACCAGCTCAGACGCCTTTGTGAAGAAGAGAGAGAGAGAAGAGAGAGGAAAGAGAGAGAGAGAGAGAGAGAGGCCGACCGCAGGGGGCCCGACGAGAGGCCATTTTTACAAGTCATATGAGTGCAGCCGAGAGAGAGACAGAGAGGGGAGGTGTGAAGCAATCCTGAGGCGAAGACGAAGAGATTTTGCAATGTTAGACCGGTGGAATCTAGGGCTGTCAAAAGTATCAAAAATCTGATACTAATCAATAATGAGACAAATATTGAAACTGGATTCTATACTGCACTTTTAGACAGATTACACCTGCAGGTTTTTTTCTCATTCTCACCAAATTATAACATAAACAACTTGACTATCTTGACAGTTTTTGTAATAAAGAATAAATCAGCATTGCAGTTGTTTCCAGGAAAAGCTGTATTTGATTTGAAAATGTCAAGATTCTGAAATCAAAATCTTACATATGGTTTATTTAACCCCAGTGAAACAATTTTAGAAATACTAATACTTGGCTACATATCGCTACTCATCAATAATTTTTCATTAGACAACGTGTAGTGTGGATTGACCAGGATATGGTGCTACATCTCTACTCATCATGTAGTGGTAGTTTTCGATTTAGCAGCTACTTTTTACTTTTAGTTCAGTGTAGATTGGTAATTATTAGGGGTGTAACATTACACAAAAATCACACTTCGGTACTTACCTTGGTTTTGAGGTCACGGTTTATTTTGGGTTCAGTACGGGAACAAAGTAAGAACTATGAGTAAGAAAGCTGTCAAAAATATTCGTGCGCATAAAATAGAAATCCGTGCGTATTTGGCTGTAGTTGCGCATAAAATAAATATTTGTAAACTCTCAAATGAGTCCAGTCGTACATAAAATATATTGTGTGTATTTTATCCATCAGAATACGAATTGAAAAATTACCACGTCATGAATTACAATCACGAAATGAAAATTTACGATTACGCTTTCATCAGTACGAATACGAATTCACAGACGGAACTTTACTGTCAAAAATACGTCATCACTTCACAGACATTATCATCGAGCAGAAGAAACATCGATCAAGATCAAGACTGCGCAGCTCAAGTTTGTAGCAGAGGGTAAA